TGCACTGAACTGAATAGAATATATAAAATGAAGCTGCATTTTAAAATGTATTTGGTAGATACATCAAGGACAGTTTGGGTTTTGGTCTAAACATGTGTTTTCAATGGTTTTAAAGGGATTTTAATTGTTGGTAACTACATAAAGACTTCCTTCCTTCCTTCCTTCCTGCATTGCCTCCCCACATCTACACAAATGTGTAGCCTGATGAAAACAATGTTAAGAATGGTTCATGGAGCATTATTAGATGGACCTTTGTCACTCTGTCTTTCTGCAGCTCTCACTCACAGCATGGTGTCAAATTGTTTGGGACATGATGAAACTGCTGCAGTGCTGAGACCTGAGAGTGACCTTCAGCTCTGATGCACCTGCCTCGAAGAATTTCACTCAAACAAATTGACCAGACTGAGCGATAAAGTTCGGGAGTTAGAAAAAGATTGTGAATTTCTTTCACAAACCAAGATTTCTCCTGTAAGGTTTTCATTACCTCTGTCTACAGCTTATCATAGACCATACAATACAATGAACAACCGTCCCAGTTCATCTCCGTTCTTTTAAAGTGAAATGGTCTTTAAAGATTTCAGACAGCCCTTACAGCTCAGTGAATGTTCTAGTTCTGTTTGGCCTCTGGTTAATGGGCAGACTGGCTGTCATCCCGATAACATCACTGAGTAGAAAGGTTTGTGAGAGGCAAATTAGTTTCAGGATTTGTATCTACTTTCTGCGCACTGTACAAAAGAGTTTTGAATATTTACACTCCTTCTGTTTTATGGCACGGGGACTTCTCCTCTTTATCACTATTCCACTGTTTAATTATTGCTTAATGATTTCTACATAAAACAGAGAGAATCTAGCGAGTCCTGAACTGCTAACTGTTCCCCAAATTAATGAATTCATTGATCAAACAATAAAAAGAATGCCCGCTCAGCTTTGAGATGTAAAACAGGATTTTCTCTGAAAAGCAGCAGCTGATTCTGTTGGCCCCAATAACCGACATCTACAATTAACATTCAGTCTGAAGAGGGAGAGTGGACAGAGATGTGTTGTGTGAAGATGCTTAGACACACACAGACACACAGACAGACACACACCTGACAGCTGCATTTTAACACTCCCTTCCAGGTTTTAAGTCTTAAATTTAATTATCCGGTGGTGGCAAGTAGGGGTGTGTGTGTGTGTGTGTGTGTGTGTGTGTGTGTGTGTGTGTGTGCGCGCGCGCGCGCACGCACCAGCGGGAGGGGGCTGCCTGATGGCTGGGACCTGTGATTTGATTTTGGAGGGGCAGATGGCAGGCTGCTGCTGGAAGGCATTTGGGGTGTGTGGTTTGTGTGTGGGGGTGTGTATAGGGTGGGGGGGGGCACTTTCTAGGAGTGCAAAATAAAGCTTTTTATAGAATCTATGGGTTTGGTTTGTTACTATGGGTTACTGGTATGTTTTGATTCTCATTTAAAGACCTGATAATAGTTGGTGATTAACACCTTAAATATTAGTGACATAATAAAACTGAGTGCATTATAAAAATGTAAACGTCAGTGATGGATGATCAGATATAAAAGCCAGTAGGATGTCTCTGTAACAAGTGGCATCTTTGTGTGTGTAAAGCACATCCACAGAGGGGTTATTGGTTTAGTGTCTGTTTCTGTGCCTTGCTCCACAGTGATCTAAGGTCATTTTTAAACACACACAACAAAGAGATGCTGAACAGAATATTATTTTCACTTCAGATGGAGACCAGTTCCATCAAGTGTACTCTACCATATACGGATTACACTCTGGGCTGGTTGAGATTCATAGATTGATTTTCTGGTCCGACTCGGTGGTTCGAAGGAAAACATGCTCCCCCAAAGTGTTGTGTTGTTGTAATAGGAACTGACATCAGGAAATGCCCCCTGGAAAAAAAATCTCTTTATCATGACACATTTATGGGTTTGGTGCATGTCGTCACTGTGGAATGATTTCTCTCCACATTTAGTGATTTTTAATTTTCAGGTAAACAATTCAGTGTTCCTCTATAGACTGACAGAAATCTCCCCAAACTAGATACATCTTTTAAACAATGACTAAATTGGCGGGAACAAACAAGTCAGCTCTACAAGTAGTCAACATAGAAGTAAAGACATGTTGACATAATGTTAAATATTATTTTGGACTGGGAATAAAAAGAATCCCCTCAGCCTACATTACAGAGAGCACAAACTGATCTGGATGCTGTTGGACAGGATGTTGTCAGGTGTCCAGCTCTGTGCTTTGGTTCATGTTACAGGCTTAATGGGTTAAACCCTCCAATTAGACTTTTAATTCAATCCTGAGAGACGATCCTGTTGCAGCCGAGAGATGAACACAGGTCAAAAGCAAAAGACATCATGGCGAGAACATACTTGCTGTTGCTTGAGGGTCGCTGCACTGACAGATGTGAACCAGACAGATCCAAAGTAAATTGCTCAAGAACAGACTAAGAATTTTGTAAGTGTGTATAACTTTCACGTGAAGGTTTTCAGACAGAGTAATAAAAAATCTCTGTTGAAAAACCCAAACAGGCTTTAAATCCTGACTTGATGTTCACACATCATCATGAGATACACTACCTGACTCACAGATATAAACATTAACCTGTAAAATGAATGAGTAAATCTGGAATCTGTTGCCTGTATAAAAACAGAGCAAATGCTGTTGAGCACTTGCTGACACCATGTTTGAAGATTTATTGAAGAAACAGTGTCTCCAGCTGATGAGGAGAACGTCACAGTGTCAGACTGATGGATGAATGGATTCAAGTTCAAAGAATGATGCTGAAATAAGAGTCTGCTGTGACTAATGGCTGATGTGTTTATCATGAAAAATCCTGTGGTGAAAATCTGAAGAAGATACATGAAGTACTCAGCGTGAGTTGTGTAATGTGTCATTTGAAATATACAACAGTGAAATAGACTCAAATGATTGATTGATGATTTGAAATATAAATACACAGCTAAAAGGAAACACAAACTTACTACATCAGATCTGCCTGGTCTTAGAGAGTGGATACCTGACCTAAGTCAAGCCGGGTTCAGACAAAGTTTGAGTAGTTTGAGCAGTTATGATTAAATAAACACACAGCAATATGCTGGATACTATTAAATAATCCTAACAAGCCATTAGAAAGTGTGTTCCTGTTCTGTGCTGGCTCTGACAGAGAGGACACTGGTCTGGCTCTGTCAGAGGTGATAAGGATCACTATTCTCATGAGTCACTTATCTGGACTGTCAGAATCCTCCTGCCGGCTCACAGGAAACAGACAGCAGCTCCTTCGCTTTTCAGACTCTACTTTGATTTTTTTTAACTTTGAGGTTTTTTTAAATGAAGACATTGTTCTGTTTCATGTAAACGTAATGTCAAAGTTATTTCATCAATAATCAACAGCTCAGTGGGATTGTTGATTTAATAATACAGTTGAATTTCATTAACAATGAAACAGCTTTTCTAGTCTTTGTGAACATTTTGACCTTTGTTCATAAAGAAGTTTTCACAAAAAGTATTTTGCCATCAAACTTTTGAAACTGTTGAAAATAATTATATTATTGTAAATTTTTATCTTTGCATTCAAAACTTACTAACTATTTATACATGAATATGATGTGAACCTCTTAACTGCATTTCAGCCCTTGCTCCCCACGTTCCTAAAAAATAATTTTGTATATTTCCTCCTTTGTAATGTTTCATTGATTTAAGTATAATTTATACTTGACATTCGTCATGAGCTGTTTAAATCATTGTGCCCTTATTTGAATAATTTTGTGAGATGAGTTAAAATTATGTCATTAATAATAATAATGTAAGGCATCTCCCAGATGAGGCAACATCGATATAAATCTTTTGACCAGGGGCACCATGTGTTTGAGCTCACCTCATCTCCCGCCACCCGGGACCCTCAATGAGAATCTCAGATGCGTTACAGCGGTGAATGTGTCCCAGATGGATCAGATTATAGCAAAAACAGTCTCTGATGGCTGTATGAGGTGGGGAGGACACTATACTGATGGTTATGGCAAAAGGCCTGAACTCCAAAGTGTATTCATTAGTGCCTTGTTGAAATAACTGTGGCGTGTAATTATGTATGGTTGATTAAATAGGATGTAATTACCTCGACTGCTGACACAGCTGAAGCCTATAAATCACAGCAGTTTCTGGAGATAAAACCTTTCGGCTAAAACGCTCAGCCTCGCAGGCCCATCTGGTTTTCATGTGCACATCATCCAACTTCATCTCACTGAAAACAATGCAGGGAACTCCCTCTGTAACGGTCATGTTATGTAATGATAGACAGTGCGCTCATGGATTTGCAGGACCCAGAAAGTACCTTGTTGACATGGATGGTTTCGCTAGAGATGCTACTCTCACCCACACGGGAGGACACAGTTTTAAATCGTACAGTGATGATGCTGTCAGACCAAGGAGGTTATGTTTTCACCCCTGTTCATTTGTGTGTTGGTTGTTTTGTTTGTTTGTTTGTTTGTTTGTTTGTAAGCACGGTTGCATCAAACACTACTTGTGGACTGATGCAGTATGGGCCAGGAAAGAACCCATTGAATTGTGGTGTGGATCTGGACAAAGGTGTGGATCCGAGATGGGCGCTTGTTGGCGTTAATTTGTGGATCTTCTTCCCTTCTTCCCTCTCTGTATGTATCTTCTGTTATACTGATATATGTCCAATTGTCTCTATTATGCTAATATATAACCTGTATTGAAGATTTTGTATCTTTTGTATTTCATAGTTTGTTGTAATTGGGTGTGGATTTGTGGTTTCTACCACACCCCACATGTATTTTTCAATATTTAACTTCATGCAATTTGTATTAATGTGGATTGAAATAAACTCAACTAAACTCAATGAAAAAAGAAATCAGGTATATTGAGGGGACTGATATCTATGTGTGTGTGTAATATGGTAAAGGTTGATTGTAAGGGAACTGTTGGTATGTGCTCCACTGAGTGCCATAAACAAGTATTCTTTTTGACAGACTCACCTGCTTGCCCTCCAACGTGAACAGTCTTCTCACAGCTCCAGAGTCCAACTTGATCGCCTCCGTGATGTCAGTGAGCACCTGCTCGAAGGAGTGCGCCGTCTTTTTGTTGAGCAGTACCCGAACCGCCTTGCGGGGTTTGACGCCGCTGCGGATGACTGTGACAAGCTTTGGTTTGATGAAGTCCTTGGACTCGCGCTGCACCAGCGGGATGAGAGAGGAGAGGGAGCGCGAGGTTCCAGTTTTGCAGCCCACCGACCAGTTGGGGTTGACGTTCTTGGTGTATTCTACACGCCGGAAGGGTTCGTTGGAGGCGCACACATAACTCTCCCCTGGAGGAAGACAGAAGTTGATAGTAGATATAGTCAACACATGCAAAGCTCAGCAAACATATTCACATCCAAGAAACAAAACACACATGCATGCATCACACGTATAGAATTAATACTGCTTCCACTTTTGTGTCAGATGAACAACAAAGAGTTAACATTCCTCAGTTGGAACAAAAAGGCACATTGAGAGGCCGGTCCAGCGTAACTCTGCCCTTCGTCCCTTTCAGCTGCCGAGCTGCTGCACTGGCCTCCCTCCAAAGCAAAGCATTTTGTTTTATCTGCCAGCATTCCATCAGAACCGTTAACACGCAAATGTTTCCCCTTAAGAACAAAGTCGTGTGACAACAGGGGGCTGGTAAAATGAAAACCACAGCAAGAATGTGTGAAGGATTCTTTTGGAGTGATTGTTAGACGAGAAACTGTTGTTCTTCAGCATGAGTAAGAATGTGACACATATTTTCTCTTCTGGCTACATTCAGTGTCCATGAAGAGGAAACCTACACTCAGAAGAAACAAGGCATATTATACTTTACATACAGTGAATTCTGTCCAGCAACCATTATGATATGAGGACAAAAACAGAATTCCTCTTTCTGCATAAAGAACTTGTTTCCTGCTTGAATGATCAAGAAAGAAAAGTATTGTTTTTACGATAACATTCATTGCATCAATATGAGAACTTCTCAGTGGCTGGGGTGTGGTGTGTTAGGGAAACTGCACAGTAATTAGGTCAATCTCTGAGCCTATTGGCTATCGTCTGATGAAGAATTAGCCTTTGTGGCCTCCGGTGCAGACAGTGGATATCTGGGCCAAGACTATCTTCTGTTCGCCCTACACTGTTCCCAGTCCGAGTTGTTTTGAAACAATGCTCCGAAATGTAGTTCTACTAACCAGATTACAACTGATAATACATGAAAAAGTGTCACAAAAGAACTATTGCACATCATGGGAATTTTGGTGTCATTGTACATCGTACAGAGGGCAACATTAATCACACAAATATGATGATTATCGTACATCTGGCAACACTGTCCCTCACTTACAATCCGTTTGAAGAGATTATAATGAGGTTGGCCATGGAGCAAACAGAAATGTTCGTTTCAAAGCAGCTTAATCCTTAAATCCTACAAACCACACAAATATGTCAATTTATAACTTTAAAAATGTGTTTTATGTTCCCTGTCTTGAGTAAATGGTGGATTTTACTGACTAAAGAAATCCATACCATCTATAAATTCTGGTTGCTGGATATGCATCAAGACAAATGAACGGAGCTACAGTGTAAAAAGAACATTTGAGACAGTCCCAAGATATCTGGTTTTATTAAGCCTGCAATTAACCAGAGGCTAATTAAAGAGCTGGGACGCAGCTGATGGGGGACAGAATAATAAACTGAGCCTGTCAATCATCTGAGGGAAACTGTCAGAACACTGAGACGCCATCAGATGGCGACTGGTGACAAGTCTATTCACTGGAGACCTGGGATCTCAGGTGCAACATCTCCCAGTCAGGTGAGAGGGCGCCTCCTCTGCCCGCCACCGGCTGCTGCCCTCATCTGCACAACAGATGAGGTCGATCTCAACAGAGCTGCCTAACCAGCTTCTACTGCAGTGGTCACACAGCTGTCACCAATATATAACCCAGATAGATGTGAGTAAATGGGAATCATAAAACTGTATTGAGGCTTTGCAAGATTTATCATATCCAAAACAATGAAGAGAGATCATGCACATCTCAATTCTTTGTTTTGTAGACTTAATATTCACAGTGGTGGTAAAAGAAATTAGACATATGGACACATGCCACACAATCCTAATCTGTGCCACTTTGCAAATTTCTCAATCCTTGGTTTATTCTCTTGTCCAAGAAACTCATTTGAATTGTTAAAAGGGATCCCAGAGTCATTTTTAGATAAATAGATCTAGCATTTGTAACATCCACCTTCATGTATCCATCTCCCTTACATTCAGGATGCAGCTCAGTTTTAGCCTGGAGCAAAAAATCCATCAATCTCTACAAATTAGACATTAATGGCTGAGTGGCTTTTACAACTGTTAAAATTTAAAGATAATTGAAATCAAACTTATAATACAGGCTATGATGACAAATCTTGGAAATTCCCTGGAATCAAATGATTTCATGAACAGAAAAACATTTGCTTTAATTTCATATGCACATCAGACTGTGGTGTTTGAAGCTTCTCTGGATGTGCTGCAGAAAAGTTAAGCATGAATTAACTTTTATTCTGAAGCATTCTTATCCTGATGAACTGTGTGAGCCCTGAATCACAGAAACTAGAGGGCAGCTCCTTTTCTTTGACTCAGGTCTCATGAGGAAGTTCTCTAAAAGCTTCCTCATTTGGTTCATGATGTGAAATCCCTGGATCAGGGCTAATGCCGTAAACAGCTATAAAACGTACAATATTTCTAATGTGGAAAATTATCTTTAGCCAAGTTAAATATCCACAATAGGGAACTTCATTTCTACATTTGCTAGAAAAAGACCCTTCAGCTTGCAAAGTTATTGTCCCATCTGGAGTTCCTCTGTCAGCAAGTTGTTCGGACAGTAAACTACAAAGCTTCAGTGTCTGCTACCTCCCTGTGTTGTTTTCCACGAGCACAGCAGTTCAATTTGGCTGGCTGGCTCCCCTCCGGCCGTAAGGGCCACACATGTGAGCACTGCTTGATTGGCTTTCCACACAAAAGAGCCCCAGCAGGCCTCAATCAATGGAGGCGAACTGCTGAGCTGTGCAGTAATGTTCCCTCTCTCCATCCATTTAGATGGGTGAGTAAACAAGGACACTGGAGACAGCCCACCTGCAGTCCGTCTCCTGTTTGAGATGTTTTGACATGTATTGTCACTGCCAGAAAGAACAAGGATTAAAGACTGACCCAAAAAATGAGCAGAACAAACTTTTTCCTCTGCGTTTTAATTCTCGTCTACGCACAAGAAGTGTCACTTAAACAGAGATTTAAACAAAAACCTTCTAAAGTGCAGAATTTCAAAAACTCCATGTGCACATGCAAAATAGAGCGTTTGGGGAACAATAATGTCACAGCTTACTTTGTGCACGCCCACTGTTGTTTTATGCAATGAGCAACCACCAGAAACAACAACAATGGCCGCTTTTTAAGACTTTCTCTACGTTTGGTCTAGTTATAAGTTTATAAGCATCACATCACATTCACAAGCTTCTGCCAAAGATATAAGTTAAAGAAATGTTGCTTCTATTGTTTTGGTTTTGAAGTTACTACTGTTAAAGGACAACACGCTCACAATATTCTTCTCTGGTATTCAACGAATCATTGTCGTAGACTTTATCGTGACCCACAGAGGCTTGTTTGAGCGTTTGTAGTCGTTTTTGTGTTCACGTCGCATGATGGAGGGGAAAATATCTGATCAAAAACATATCCGCAGTAGTGCAGACAAGGCCAAAATTAGTTGTTGAATAGTCAGTCAGAGGTACAACTCTGGACCAACCCAATGCACCAAAAACCACTTCACTTCTGCTGCAGTTTGCCAAAGTAATGATGCTACAGAATTGAGATCAGACACTGGCTGGCCTAAATCTTCCCCGGTCTCTCAGGGGGACAGGTTGCAGGAAATGAGGAGCCTACGTTTTAGGAGGATGTGAAATAAAAATAAACCGGTACATAGGAATAATGACTGCAGTGAGAGGTCAGCGAATCCTCAGTGTGTGTGGCCAAGCGGTAACCCCTCACGTTGAAAGAGGATTGCAGGCAGGTCGCAGAGCAGACAGACATGAAGCTTAAGTTCTTACAGAGAGGTCACTGTCCCTGCAGGGAGAACAACACAGCAGGAAAGTGAAAGGGTCGCTGACTGTGCTCGAATTGTGTCTGCAGTGCACAGCTGCATCTGACAAAGTGGTTTAAAAACTAATTAGTTTGGAAACTCCTTTAAACCCTAAAGCTCCTCACTAATAGGTCTAAACTGAACATATAGCTGTGACTGCAGGACTCTCCTGTTACTTCTAACTGGCTACTATGTTATTGCAATCAGTTAGTTTCCAGTCACCCATTACACTGCAAGCAATAAACAGATAGTGTGGATGGGGGGGGGGGGGGGGGGGGGTGTCTTCCATCTTTCAAGCCCCAAGGGTGACACTAAGACTTAAACAGCAAATGGACCTTACAACAAAACACAGTCATCAAACATTTACTCCCAGACAGGAGGTATAAAATACACATAAACTCAAAGTGGAGGAAAGTGAAAGAGCAGCTGAGATGAATGAGTAGAAGTCTGAATCCTGAACCCAGGCTGCACAGAGGAGGAGGGGAGGGTCTCCTTGTGTGCATTTCATGGCACTGGGTCAAACCATAGACTGTATATAAAGAGGGTCAAACATGTCACAAGTGTTATGTCAAGGATGCAAATTGAGTGAATGATAAGAGGGAGGATTTGCAATTGCATCCAGTATAAAGTGATGCTCCCTGGAGATAAATGGATAGACTTCTACTGTGCACAAAGGAGAACTAACTTTGTGGAGCCAGACTTCACGTGTCCTGACTGACCTTTAAAACCTCTGGCCTCACTTTCCTGAGGCTGCAGTGCACCTCTGCACGAGCCAGTTAACCAATATCCAAGGCAAAAATGTAGCTTTTAACAAAAATCAATTTCATGTCTGGATCAATGCACATTAGTCTGTCATGCACCAGGCCTCTTTCATAATGTATGGAGACATGAGGAGGCTATTACATCCATCATCAAGCCTTACCCTCCACTATCTCATCCAGGCTGCTGATCTTCCTGCCTCCGTCCAGCACGTACAGGGTCCGGACCCCCTGGGGGAGGTTGACGTTGTCCGACAGGGACCGTGTGAGCTCCATGAGCAGCGCGTCCAGGGACCTGAACCGGTCGTTGGAGACAGCATATACCAGCCCTTTGAAATATTTGTCCCCATTGCGGTAGAATCGGACTTTTCTGGCTTTTTTCTCGGATGTGAGTGACTGCAGGGTGCGTGTGCGGTAGAAGCTACAGTGCGCACTGTGCGCCGGGCTGGGGACCACACCGTTGCCCCTGGAGCCAGGCTGCGTGGACCCGGTGCCCGAGTTGGTCCTCGGCGTCCGCTGCGGCTTCTCCTCAAAGTGCTCGAACTCAATGCTTCTGCTCAGAGACATGTTGTCTGTCACTTAACCTTCCTGTTGTCAAAAGAAAAACAGCACGATACTTGAATCCAGAAGGACCCGTACACGTGTGCGCACTCGCTTCTGCGGCTTCCAGAAAGAGGAAAAACTAAATCTGAATCCAGATTAATGCGCAACAGAGTTTGACAGGCATCGCTGAGGAGTTTCCAAACCAAAGTTGGGTGAACCGCAGCAGACTGACCGCAGACCTCCTGCTCCTCCTCCCCTCACATCCTCCTCCTCACTGGAGTCTGAGTCAAACTGTCACTGGATCGTGAGGGAGCAGGAAACCTCCCCAGCCTCAGGGTCCTAACGCCCGAGCTTTGTCTGCTCATGTGTTCAGGACCTGAGGACGATGAAGTCTTAAAGGTCCCGTGTGTGTGTGTGTGTGTGTGTGTGTGTGTGTGTGTGTGTGTGTGTGTGTGTGTGTGTGTGTGTGTGTGTGTAGGTAAAAAAAAGATCTATTGGCAGAAGTTGAATGTAAAATAATCCTTGTGATGTTTTAACTGGTGTGTAATAATCTAAATTGTACAAATTGTGTTTTTCTTTACCCTAGAATGAGCCTTTATATTTAAAACACTTTATATTTACATCAGGAGAGGGTCCTCTCTATGGAGGCAGCCATGTTTTTTTTTTACAGTAGCCCACACTGGACAAACTTAACGCCTTTTGAGTTTTTACTCTACCACAGGTTCTCTTTCCTGTTTGGAGGGGGAGGGGGAGGTTATGGGTATTCAGCTACAATTTCACCACTAGATGTCACTAGATTCTACACACTGAACCTTTAACTGTCCTCCTCCATGACCTCAATTATGTTCAAACTGTAAAAATACCAGAAAAGTAATTCCTATACATATATTAATATATTAATTTATATATATTCATTCTATACTACCAAGTTTAGTTGAAATCTGTTTTGTAGATGTTGTGTAATCCTAAACTGTGTTCATACCTCACCCAAGACCCAACAGTCGTCCTATGAAACCATAATTAAATTCACTTGATCCCGATTCTTGATTTGGCACCAAATTGCACACACTCATAAATATCAGACTGAGCTTTATAGGACAAAGCCAGTTTAACACTATGCCTGGTGGGTTCATCGCTGTTCCCCTCCAGGCTCGTACCTTCCCGTGTCACCACCTGGCACTGCACGGCACAGTCCTGAGCCTCACTTTCACTGCAGCTTGACAAATAAAATCACAAACAGGGCCAACACAGTATAAAGGACAGAATGGGGATGAGTTAACCCACTTTTCAAATACATTGGCCTAATTCCTGAAGCCAATGCAACAGAAAACACTAATCTGTCACATTTAATGAGCAATTATAGGGTCAAGCTAGTTTTTAAAGACGGCTCAGTACAATTCTGACAGTTACAGGTGTAGTCATACATTTAGCAGTTTGGCTGGTAGCTAATTTACTTTTAAAAACTGCAGGTCATGTGTGTGCCCTATAAAACAATCTTATTTAAAATAATTGAATAGTATCTAATGAACAAGGAAAGGCCAATCAAACCCAGCGTGAAGACCATAAAATATGTGAAATTTGGTTATAAATCAATTGTGTCAAATGTGAGAGATGGCTGGTCATTTAGTTTGAAGGTGGGTGGCCCTTTTTTTTTACTTTGTGAGAAAGGAAAGGAGATTTTGAGTGAATAGAAACAAAGCAACCTTATCTGTCTATTGTCAAACTTATTATTCTTTTTTCCCCTTGATTTAACTATTTCATTCAAATCTGTATAAATGTGTTTCCAGCAACATCTTAGGAATTCCTCAAATCAACAGCCGGCCTGTTTTGGATGCATTGTTCTCAGCAGCCTTTGAGAAAGGAGGAAGTCACTTAGCAGAAACTAAATGGAAGTGCTCTTCCCCCGGCAGAGGGAAATCCTGTACAGAATGACAAGCAGAAAATCCCTCACTGACAAGAATCCCTCTCTCTAAAATAAAAATAACAATCAGGCCAGCGGTGAAGCTTAAGCCTCTTCTGACTTCTTCTTCGGGTACTTTTGCTAAGCTGCTAATATAATGCAGTTTATGGGGGATTGTGGGAATAAATTCTCCTCAGGCATTTGTATGAAAATCATTTAGCAGAGGATATCCTCTCTAAAGAAAACAATGCCAAGCTTGTGCTCAGCTGCAAAGCTACTGGTTTCAGGCAAAATCACATGCCTCATAAATACAGGCTACTTACTGGAGAAGAGAAGTGAGATCTCAGTTTTTTATTACACAACATTTTATAAAACACACTTACAGTTACTTCAGTGTGTATATATATTATAAAAAATGACTTGTAAGTGTGTTAATAGCATCGAGATATCTAACAGACTGGAAACAGCGTGTATTATTTTTACAGCAGAAAGCAGGTGCAGCAACATTCAGATTAATGTGCTAATAAAGAAGGAGGATGTAGCTTCAGGGATCAAAGGTTATGAGACAGTTAGAGGTCAATGGTGCATATCTTATTGTGGGACACATCCTACGGTTCTGGCTGTCTTAGACACAGTGGATATTTAATATCTCAGTCAAAAAAGAATAATGAGGAAAACTAAATTGTAGCAGTCATTCACTGCAGTGATTTAACCAGTTAATTAGTTTATGTAGACTGATGAGCCTCTATGCTTGATTTCTTTTCTGTGTGATGTGGCAACATTAAAAGAGAAAAAATGCTCCACCTCCCTCTAGTGTTCACCGAGTAAACGAGTGGAGGAATTCTAGAATAACCCTAGATTGGCTCTGGGAGAGAGAGG